GAAAGGTGACCCTCGCACTTTTGCGTGACTGCATGGGGTTCCGGACCCCCGTGCCTTAACCCACGGCTCCCATGCCGCGACGGCTGCCAAATGCCCGATGACGTCCCGGGGACGTGCTGTTTCCCCCACAGCGCGGTGGACACTGCATGGGAATCTAAGGATGGGTAAAGACGAAACTCACAATATGAACAGTTACTCACATAAACTATGCGCACACTTCATGTGTCGTCCTTGGCCTCCTGGCGGCCGTAGCCTGAGGCTCCCCCCTCACGGAGAGGAAGTACGCCTCAATCGGCAGAGGCGACCGCAAGACGACTGGCCTCGGCTGGGGGCGGGGCCACTACGTGGCGCACGCTTCTAGGGCCGCGCGCGCCTGACGTAATTGGCCGTGGAGCGAGACAGAGCCCAGGCGTGCAGCGCGCGCCCGCACGACCGTCGCGTTCCGCGACACACTGCCGCGATTGTGATCTCCTCACTTGGAGCCAGTATGGAAGGATTTCCTTCATAGGAAACCACTAGATTCTCGCTTGATCCAGTGGTTACCATAAGATTATTCACTACTGTGAAACTTTACGTCATCGATTGGATGAATACTCAGGTCTATTTGGTCTTCCCCTCTCATCATGTCTAATGATTTACGCACATTGAGTTCCGAATTCCGGAAAATTCTGCAAAATCGTGACGTCATCGCTATCGATCAGGATCCATTAGGCATAATGGGAAAACTAGTGCAGAAGGTTTGGACAGCAGTACCTTACAATTTTGGTTGGAATTGCCTCTATGCGATTCGTTTTACAGAACAATAGTGTTAGGATCTACGCGAAGCCGGTCACACCCGTTACCCACGGGATTACCTCATTTGCTGTTGCCGTTGTCAATATGGATGAATCTGCAGTTAAGGTGAGCAGACATATACACTAATATACATCACTTCCAGTCCAGCTAAGTCCCAGAGCCAGCTCAGCCAGGAGACTTCGATTCACGCGAAATACGGCCATCCCACGCGCACGGTGGCAGTGTGACGGCGTCGCGAGCACCGCGGGCATTTTCACTGTAGACCTCCACCAGAGATTGAGTCAACTACCCGGCATGCGTTTCGTTTAGTGCGCAAGCCAGAATTTCTTGACCCATACCATAGCGCTTGAGAAATGTCCTCGTAGATATCACTTCGGACACATAGCATCCTCTTCACAGTATGTAATACAGGAAGTGGTCATGGAAATTCCTAATAAGAGTCCAAGAAAGTTACATGGTGATTGGAAGGTCCTATTCAGGATCACGCCCAGTGACGCGTCCCACCCCTAACTACAGTAGCGCCCGCCCGTGACCTCTCTTACTCACGTACGCCAAGTAGGTCTAAGCGTGAACACAGACCACCTTCCCCCCCCAAAAACCGGTAGCCCCCCAAAAAAATCGACCAGCGCTGGCTATCGCAGAAGCCGAGGATGTGGCGTAATACCATTTCTACGTCCTCGTTTCTATCTGCTACGTGTGGGAACTATCAATCTTCAACCCAACGAATCATGATGGGAATTTTTATGGGGGACTATTAGATCACTACAAGGTTAAAGCAACAGTCCCAGCAGGGTGGGCGTGGTCGGAAACGACTGCAATCCCCTCGGCCGATTCCGACCACGCCCACTTCAGCTCCCTCCCTAGCGGCTTTCCAAGGTGAGTTTTTGTTCAGTCACACTTCTTACGTTCTTGACTAGGGGCTGAACAGCTCCGAAGTGGGAATCGGCCGAGGGGATTGCAGCCGTTTCCGACCCACCCTGCTGGGACTGTTGCTTTAAGATAGGATAGGCGGTATTTTCTTTTTTAGGACCTTCTCCAGCCCTCAGCGGTCTAGCTCAACTCCTTCCTGTAAAAACCTTGAGTTCGTTAGGTGAAGTCGTGATCTAGTTGTATATCACGCATGCCTCTACACCTTGGTGGCAGAATGCTCCGCGGCCGCACGCGCTGTAGTTGTCACGATTGTGGGCACAGTGGCATCAAGTGTAACTCGTTCCACTTCAGGATGGTGCGTTTTACGTTCGAGTCACTTGGACTGGTGAACATCGGTGGATATAACCTGCGTAATCTCTGGACCGGTGAAGATTTTGGCGTGGTATTCCCGACTCAGGAATATCACGTCACATTACAGCCTACATCTGCCGCCATGATAAAGCTCACTCTTCGGTAGTCAGGGTTGAAATCGGGTTCTATTATTGCCAGATCGTAACTAATAACTTTGTTCAAATACAATTTGTTTTGTCAAATTTCTTTTTGTTCTCACTGTCACCAAATGGCTGTAAAATGCTGAAGTTACATTTGAAGAAAATCCTTTATGATTTTTTTCAGTACTCTTGCTATCCCCACCAGGGCTGACAAACTTCCAATTGTATCGACTTTGGGGATTTGAATCAAATTCGGAGGAGTATCTGTGTATTATTCAGCTCAAGGCTGCTACCTATTACAGGCGTCGCTGCCGATGTCAGACTTTGCGAATCGCGCGATTCGCTAGCGTCTGCGGTCGCGTCGCGGCCAGTGAATCACTCAATTGGCTGGTACCGCAACGC